TCAAGTGAAAGAAAAACAATAGTGGAGCTCTGAGTATTTCCGATCACACAGTGTGAAGGGAACTTAAAAGAACAGGACTGAACAGATGTGTAGCCTTAAGAAAAGCAGTAGTAAGTGATACTAACCAAAGAAAAAAGCTTCAGTTTGCAAGGCAGCATGAAGATTGGACTGATGAGTCCAGGTTTATCCTCTTCCAGAGTGATGGGAGCATCAGAGTAAGATCAGAGTAAGAAGAGAGACAGATGAAGTGATGCTCCCATCCTGCCGAGGGTCTGCAGGATGGGTGCATCTGTGGTGGCAGCACTATGGTGTGGGGTTGCTGCAGTTGGTCAGGTCAAAGTTCACCAACATAATGAGGTCAGCTGACTGGCTGGAGATACTGAATGACCAGGGGGCTCGTGTGAAAAACAGTGCACAGCTTTCATCTTGAAAGTTTGAGACAGGGAGAAATTTGGAAATTCATGGCACACAAAAAAATCCAGATGTATAAAACGGCATGCAGACATGTCACCGCACGTGTTCCCTTTATGAATCTGGACTTGGGGGAGAATTGGGCAAATCTACTCATAAATGCGTATGCAAATTACCATAAATACCTTGAAACCTCCCTCTAAATGTCTGAAAAACCATTACAACTTCCTCTTTGGAGTCTGTTTCTAACTACTGCTTCAAATAATGATAGATTTTATTTAAAAGCCACCTTTCAGGGCGCACAAGGCCACCATTTCACATGATCTGTGAACACACACTCCTTCCCTCCAGCAGGGGACAACGCCACTGGAGGAGGCCACAGCTGCCACCGTTCCACAATTACACACACCTTTATACAGCTTTTTATGTACATGTGTGATTGTCTACACCTTGTCCACCTTATTAATCATCAAGCCTGACCTGATTGGAGTTAATTTGCTGATCCAACTCCGTTTTCTCTGTCTGTGAGAATGGAATTTTAGATGTATTTCAAGCACATAGGTGCACAGACACCTATGTGGATCCTGGATCCGTATTGCTGTGTGCAATAAGATTTCAACTTGTGTAGGTGAGATTTGGTGCATTGTAGTTTGTTACTGTCACCTATAAAACTTTGGCGTTGCTTTCGCACGTTTTCACGGCAGTTCAAAAGATTGCACACACTTTCACTCCAACTTCTAACTTTACACACGCAGAGTAGTGTGCAAATTTATAAATGAAGCCTCAGGGTATTCCATCAACAGATTGTTTCCTTCAGTCATGGATGATTTTCTGATCATCAGTAAAAGAAAAAAAAATTAATGAAAAATTAATTACCAATGGATGGAAATAAATCTTGTGACATTACAGAAGCTTATCGAAACAATGTCACAGCAAATGTGTGCCATAATTAAAGATAAAGGTAAGATTGTGTCATTATGTGTACACACCACTGGCAGCAGCATTCTACAGCCTGAATATTAAAACTGATTAAAGCAATGAGCTGCAACAACTTCAATTTCCAAGTTTAGTTTATTAATTCCGTTAGTACCATGTAATCCAGACTGCTCAGTGATTCTTAAGAGAAAAAGTGCAAAGGATTCACTGGGATGCATATTTTTAGACTAAACATGGTAAAGCTTTTTAAAATTGTAAGTGGTCACTAGTCAGCTTCTTCAACTGATTCTTTTTCATAAGGTTCTTAACATTTTTTGTGCAAAATTTGAAACAGCATTGCTTATATTTCAGCTTGTCAGAAGATATGATAAGTGCAGAACATTTTGCAGTAAACCCAGTGGTTATGTGGGCTTTGTCTATTTCCTGGACTTTTTCTGTGAGCTTCAGTCACTTGCTTATGACGGAGTGTTAGGACCAGACTAAGAGCGTTGTTTGTTTCAGGGGTGCACCGATAAACCGGGAGATTGGTGATTGGCCAATACTTACATGTGAAGCCACTGTCCTCTTCTGCTCTACTTATAGAGGTTTGATTGTTAGCCCCGCCCACCAGGTATTGTCTGTATGTTTGCAGTTAACAACAATTACCCCACTGTTACCACCTCAGCTACTTTCTTACCATATTTAGCAGCATTTCAGAGAAAAAATTGGCATCGGCCAAAATCAGACTCAGCAATTGGCCAGAAAACTGCAGTAGGTGATCCCCCAATTTGTTTTCAATAGGAGAATAAAGTTGATTTTATGAGAACTCTACACCAAACTGCATCAGAATGAGGAACAAAAAGCATCTTGTGAAGCTATAGTTGATATCAGTTTACAAATGAGGAAATACTTCATCTTTTAGCATCAAATTATTATCAGCTGCAAATAAAAAATCTGAGCTGATCACGTCACATGTTCTACCAAGACTTTGTTCATATTTTTATGACTGTTTTCATATAATTTTGCAACTTTCTTCTGGGAATATTGAGTCTTTATTCTGCCAATTGCACAGCTATTCCCCTAATATGACTTTATTCTTGTATCTTTAAAAAAATATTTATCTTAGCCTGGTCCTAATAGCCTGTCACACTTGTTTTACTAACCTCTTTTCACACCACAAACGACCCCTTCTCTCCTCTATGGAGGCAGATATATTTAACATCATGAGGCAGAAACTTCCTCTTCTGCTCCAGTTCTTCTGTAGGAAACTTATTCTACTGGCTTGAACAGGCAACCTGTTGATTAAGCTGCACACTGCTGCCACCTACTGACCGGAGGCTTGTTTCGGTGAAAAAAGAGAATAATAAAGTCCTGCTGTCTCTCTCTGTGAGGTACTGGTACATGACCAGGCTGATTTGAACAGCTATTTTTCTAACTGAGGTTAACTCAGCTTAGATCATCTTTGCCTGATAGTTTCTCAGTTGATCTATAAAATCTATATTCTTACCTACTGTGTTGTTTAGGCTCCCTGAAGAAGGCCCAGATATTAGGATTAGATAGAAGTATATATTGTGTCTGTGGAACCTATAAGCAACCCAAGAAGTGTCATATGACATTGGTGAAAGAATTTCCTTTTCAGATCACGAGCTGTAAAACGTTTGACCTCAGGCATCTTTCAAAGCTACTCTTTCAAATCTGTTGCATATCACCTCATCAGCACATTCTGAGACCGTAACATGGGGGCCGTTTTATGGGGCCTAGTCAGAGGTATCGTGTCATTTCTCTTTCCACATTTTTGATCTGATCAACTGATCAAAAAGAATGTTAGTCCTGCTTTATTTGTCCCCAGATGAACACAGTATTGCCTCAAGGCCTGCTATGCCTGGCAAGGATTGTAATTCCTGTGGAGTCTTCACGTATTCCCTCATTTTACAACCACGAGCTATGACGTGGGAGTTTATGAAATAGATTAAACAGCAAATGTTGTGTTCTCTTATTTTTTTCCAAATGTAAATAAAAATTTGAAAAGTCAGCTTTGCATTTGCTTCAGCCCCTACAAGCTTTGGTTTTCTATAGATCAAAGTTCTTCTTCAACCTTCATGTAACCAGGATAAAACTCCTTGGGTCAGAGATCTCTTTTACAAAACTGTCTTCACAGGATCAAATTGATGCTATTTTCTAAGTAAAGTCACACAAATTCAGTCAGAATGGATGAAGAGCATCTGTGAATATCAAGTTTTTAACACTTGCCACAGATTTCTGAAGACACATCTCGATTTAGACGAGGCCGTTTTAACACCTAAACATGTTTAAACATCCTTTTCACTGCAAATCGGATCTGACTGTATGCGTACAGTCGTTCTGAAACCTGAAGCTCCACCTCATTTTAAAGTCTTCTGCCGCCTCTAACATATTTTCCTTGTACTGCATTTTGCTCCCCATAGATCTAATCAGCTTCCTTGTTCTTGCTGAAAGTTGCATTACTCCACCGTCGCACTGCCCTCCCTAACAATGTTTCACAGTGGGGATAGTGCATAAGACACAATGTTCAGTTTTGCTCTCATTTAACCTTGGGGCACAGGGAGAGATGCAGGATACCAAACAACCCTAAACCACACTGCCAACGCGTCCCCCAGCGCAGATCAAACCTGGAGCCACCAGCTGCAGAACCGTCAGAACCAGAAGAATCTGTTGTTGGATTTCCTTATGATGTGTTACTATTTCATGTTGTCAGACATGTTCTACTCAAGAGATTTCTTGATTTTACCCATCAGCATTCAGACCTTGTTGAGGCTAATGAATTTAATTAAGAGAAAAACTAAATGTTCTTGGTTACATTTATTTCTAAGTAAGTAACAGTTTAAGTATTAGAGCCATACTAATAAAATAAAATAAAAATACAAAAATAAAGTCTGAGTATAAAATCAATAGTATGACAATAATGTCATACTATTAACTATTAACAGACTCATAATATTAACGATATTATGAGTCTGTTCTGGTATGAGTTTATTGTCATTACATTCTGACTTTATTTTTTAAATTTTATTGACTGTGTTCTTACCGTTCCCTTAATACTCTGTTGTACTTTGATAAAGTTAAATGTCTAAGTAAAAAAAAAGGATGCACATACTTCTTCACCTCTTCACTGATTAATATCCTGAAGCCTTACTGAGGTAAAAATAAGTTGTTTGTTTACAAGTCAAAACACAAGTCATCATTTTTAAGGATTAAAGTCTTAACACTGAGGTTTAGTAGAAATTGAAAGACAAAGACAATCCTATTTCCTCCAAGAGAAATAAAGTATGCCACCCATCACATGAAAAATGCAACTTTGCTACGTTAATAGACAATGACAAAGACCTGGGAGTGAACTGCTAATCCTTCTGTGGAAGAACAAAAGCTCCAAAATGGAGGGGGGGGGTGAGCTCAGAGGACAGTTCATACAGTGTCAACTGTATGAACTTCCGACCAAGAAATAAAAATCACTAGCGAGAAATATTATTCTGAAGCTAGGATGAATGCTATCTGAGATGCTACATTCAATCACTTTGGCTGATCTTTGAATCTGGTTTGTTCAAGATCGACACGTGAGGGAATGACATTAATACAGCAGAATCTTACAAGCATCAATACTGAGCGACATTCATTTTGATATTTGTTATCTGTGTCAGGTTTGTTCCAAAAATGGTGTGCAGATAGAGTGAGGATTATTCAGAGTTCAGCGGCAATGAACAGGATGAACATGTCGACGTACCAGGAGGAGGAGCTGCTGGGTAACTCCACCTGGACTTTCTCCTACCATCACCAGAACAACACCCCCACCCCGCCACTGCTGCAGGACCAGGCCTCCACCCTCAAACCCGCAGCCTGTGAACAGGTCCACATTGCTGTGGAGGTTTGTATCGGGACTCGGGAACGCCGACCCTGTGAACCGAGCCCTGACCCGGCTTAGCGTTTCTTTACCCACACTTCCTGATACTGTGTGTTCTCTCCTCAGGTGTTTCTGATCCTGGGGATCATCTCACTGCTGGAAAACATCATGGTCATCACGGCAATAGTGAAGAACAAGAACCTCCACTCACCCATGTACTTTTTTGTCTGCAGGTAAATATTTATTGTTAATGTTATTGAATTTTGCACCACAACAAGTTTTAAAAACTGTAACACTTTTTCTGTTCTCAGTGTCCAGAACAAATAAAAAGATGGATCAGAGAACTTCACTTTGGTCCAATCTTTTTCATTTTTCTACTTCCTGCAGCATTTAGGTTTCTCTGTTATGTTTTTGTTGGACATAATTACCTTCTTTGTTGGTCCTCTTGTCACTACACTTTTCTCTAAATGTTTTCACCAAGACCTTTCTAGAAATGATTCTGTTGCACTGCACTCTTCGGGAGATGACAATAAGTTGTGTTTCTTAGATGTGGTGAAGTCTTCTTCAACTGAACAGAACCTCTAATGCTGAACCTAGAAAATTCCTTTCATCAAATGTTATTGTTATATATAAGTAAAACATGGCACCTCACAGCCCGGTTCTGCATTTTAGCCTAGTTTTTATTTTAATTGATAACATTTTGTAATATTTCATGTCATACTGAGGTTGGAGTTATTAATTTTATAGAGACTACATGGCAGGGTTTACTACATTATTTTAAATTCCAGCCTTCATCAGACTCACATTTCAAGAGTCCTTTATATTTACTTTTAAAAAGCATAAATACAAAAATATACTATGAAGTAAAACTTTGTTCAGTGATCAGACATTTGACATATGATTTTAATTCATTTTGGATTTTTGGATTTAGTATAAGTTGTTTACTTGCATCATTCTTTTGTGATTTCTGTATTATGTAAGACTTTAAGGTGACACAAACATGGAGCATGCTGGGGTTTGTTACAATGTGGCATTTACTGCCAAACAATTCAGTAACAAATCCATACCACAAAGCATCAGCAGCTTCTTTGTGCAAAGCTTTCAAAATCAATGTTGAACTTGTCCTTGAGTTCCTTTTTTATTTTTATTTTTATATTTTTATATCCACTGACATTCAAAGATGCTCCGATTCCTATTCACCTGGAGGCAGGACCTGTTTTGACAGTAACAGTAACTCCTACATTGATACAGTCAGATTAAAGGATCGCTAGCGTTCATTTTGAATGTTCGTTCTGTTTGGCTTTGTTGTTTTGAGCACCGTGTCAGACAGTATCTGACTTTGTTCTCCAGGGTGGATTAAATTATGCAACTGTTGTTTTCTTCAAAGAAAATATAAAATAAAATACATCGAAAATCTGAACCAACTAGTTTTAAAGAAAATCTTATGAATACATTACTGCTGTTTTGAACAGTTACAAGGCTCTAAACAAGCACTTTCTTTTGTGCTTGTATTTCAGATAATCAACCAAAGTTTAGTATGAGACAAATACAAGTAGAGTAAACACAACTATCAGGTTTCAAATGATGATTTCACTTCTTAATGAGCTTTTCCCAGAATTCCAAGAACCAAACATGAAGAAGCAGCATTTAGCATCTATGCATTACAAATCTGGAACAAACTTCAGAACGTTGCAAAACTGCTGAAACACTTAAAGCCCTTTGAAACATAATGTTTTAAGAATTTAACAATGGCACTTGACTAAATGTAATTTTTCAATTGTTGATTCTATGTTGCATGACTTTGTGTTTTTGTGTTTTTATGATGTAAAGCACTCTGAAATGCCTTGTTGCTGAAATGTGCTACACAAATAAAATTTGATTGATTGATTTCAAAACTAACCTCTTCCGATATAAAAATGTGCATAAATCACAAATTAACTGCCTAATCAAATTTTTGATTTGATTTGATCTGACTACTAAGTGATCTGTTTATATTTTAGACAGAGATCTTCCATTTTGCATTCTGAGAGCTAAGTTAGTAAAAATCTTCTGACTTTTCTAATTTAAAATAATTTTTCTAATAATAATTTTTCCCCTAAAGTCTTGCATAAATGTTTTGAAATATTTGCTAAAATTGAAGTTCTTGAAATGTGAAGATTTTATTCTTTTACTTCTACCATTGTAATTGACTGCAAGGTAAAACCTTGCTTAACAAAATAAAACTACATTCTGATCAGAAATTATACTTTATTTCTCACTAACAGTTGAAATGTAGATTTAAGATGGTTAGTAATGTAAAAAGATCCTCTGACACAATGTCTGTACATACTCTGCAAGAACAAATATATCTGTTCTTAGACTCAGGGTGATAAGAACAAGCTTTTCTTTCTAACCAGGACATGTCATGCTTCACAAGAGCTTAAGGAAAAAACTTCTAGGAAGTTTTTATAGGTCCCTCCCACTGGAGCACAAATCCACTTCATTTTTCTTGGACACCACAAAAAAGAAGCCGTGCCCAGCGCAAGAATAATCTGAAAAAAGTCAGAAAATGTTAAGATGCAAGAGCAGAATAATGTCAAAGAAATGTCTCTATGTTTCCAAAATGTGTATTGACACATTTTGACCTTCAGAGAGAGAAGAAAACTCTCCCTGCCACATATCCACCACCAGTGAAGGAGTGGACAATTAAAACTCAGGTGCAACAAAACGGCACAAACAGCTTTAGTTGGATTCTGTTTGATTCCTTAAAAGTCAGCAGTAATTCTCCAGAACACCTGAATGAAATGAATGGATTCCCTCATCATCATGCCAATCAGCTCCACTGAGGTCTAGAAATGAGCCAGGCAGAGATTCAGGTAGAGAAGGGGATGCTTCTAGATGTGTAGGGTGGTAACCCTAGACATTTGGGAACCACCTGATTTAGTTCAAAACGCTGTTGCCTCAAACACCTGCTAACATGCTGCTTTAAAGCAAAGTGCATCTGTCAGCGGTATCAATTTATCCCCCATGAATCATAGTTAGGATCGGCATCGCTACATGAGCGACAAGAAAATGGCTCAAACCCGCAGAGAGGGAAGGTTGCACAGTAAATCATTGATTGATTTAACTGACTCTCCTGCTGGGAGGCAGGGATTTAAATGTATCACTGCTCAGCAGGAAGGTCTGCCAGCTTATCTGCAGGCTGCTGGTGAAAGCATGTCTGTGCAGAAACTTTAGGAATGTGTGTTTGTGGCCAAAAGCGTCTGTCATTAACCGTGTCTGCTTGGTTGCAGTCTGGCTGTGGCAGACATGCTGGTGAGCGTGTCCAATGCATGGGAGACCATCATCATTTACCTGCTGAACAACAGGCAGCTGGTGGTGGAGGAGCACTTCATCAGACAGATGGACAACGTGTTTGACTCCATGATCTGCATCTCGGTTGTGGCGTCCATGTGCAGCCTGCTGGCCATCGCCGTGGACAGGTACTGACCGTTTCTATGTGCCACACAAGAGATTTTAACCCTTTGAATTGTCCACATCTTGTCACCTTACAAATGAAAACATCAGTTTTGTCATTTGACAAAAACAACATGGCAAAAAATTGCGAGGTGGACGGAAAATGATGTATAATTTAAGTAAAAATCTATAATGTGTTACATGCATTAGTATTCACCCTTATTCAGTGTACTCTTCCTGTGTGTAAATTAACCTCTGGACAAATTTAACCGCTGGCCATGAGTTTCAAGCATCCTGCACACTGGGGTGAGTCAAAAAATGAGAGAATTTGTTCTCAATCAACTTATCTGGTTAAATATAGGCTACGTAAGACCAAATTAAACCATTTAATGAATAGACAGTCTATTTAATGTGTCATTAAATCATTAAAATGTAAATTTCTACTCGCTGATGCAGATACTATAAAAAAATTTTTCATTTTATTATCTCCTTGCACCTGTTCCTGCAGCATCACCATGAAATATTTTTATCTGTCAGACCGGCCCGTTAGGTTTTGGGGCGGGGTTTTGGGCGAGTCCTTAGTTTAATGAAATGGAAACAAGTTCAAGGTGTTACCTACTGCTTTTCCAAAGCACTGTGATAAACTTATGACACCAAGTTGTGCACCCAGACACAATAATGAAACACCTTCTATGCATACATAACCTGTAAAACTTGCTCTCATGTGTAATGCCATCACCTTTGACCTCTACAGGTCTGGATTTATACAAACCTCTGTCCAGATCAAAATATCAATTTTTGTCTCCTGTGAGAGTAAAATGTTTATCTCTGTTACTATTTTAATAAAAGTAGAGCATCAAAAGATCATATAAGAGGAAAATCAGTATCAAATACATCTAATGACTTTCAGCAAATCTTGATGTGAAAAAGTTCTGATTTCACTGTTTCCACGGCGACCCTCAAAATGCTCACATGCAAGTCAGTCGATCCATGAGGATTCTGGTATCATCATGACAGTAAAGGGATCAATGTGGTGTTTAATATGCTATTTATTTATTAGATAATAAAAACAATCTCAGAGGTTATGTTTACAAAATGTTACAAAGCACAACTTAATACATAAACCTGGATTCATCTTATATGTTAAGGCCAAAACAAGTAAGGGTGTGTTTATTGTTTCACCATGATGGCACTTTATATTGAAGCACAATTGATTCAAAGTTGTTAGTAAGCCAAGTTAGTGACAGTACAGAAACAACGTCTCATCAGTTCTTCAAACATCCCTGCAAGGCAAAGCAGCCCTATCTGCTCTCACAGCCAGCAACCGTCAGCCAATGACGGCTGACGGTTCATTGGTACAGTGGCTAAAGGCGGATCCCAAAAAAATTGATTCTCTTATCTACCTTTTAAAGCAGAGCATGCAAAAACAGTATCGGATGATTTTGGTTTAATGAAAGAAAGCAGATAAAAAACAATATTTTAAAAATAGTTTCTCTTGGCTCTTTCTCTGTCAAACTTTAAGTGGAGATTATGTGACCTGAAAAGGTCAATTCTGCCGTTTCATCTTCCACAGCAAAACACCTCCAGTATTCCTACTGTGTCTTTTAATATTATAATGCAGTATTATTATGATCTGTATTGAATTCCTGTTTTGTTTTTTTGTTTTTTTCTAGCATTTAGAGTCAGCCCTCAGAAATGTGATGGAGTATTTTGGAAGTTTAGGCTGCATTCACACAGGCCCTATTTAGTCCGGTTCATTTCAGGAGGTGTGAATTATCTCTGTGGACCAAAAAGTGAACTATGATGTCCTGGAAACTGAGGTCTTGATTTGGCTGAAGTGAACTCTAGTGTGATTCAAATGGCAAGTGGACTGGAGACTGCCCCAAAAGCTGGAAACTGACTACAGCGCAGGGCATTCTGGGTAAATACAACCAAAACAAACATACAAGCTTAGCCCTAAAGGGAGAATGACTTTTGTCAAAGACAAAGGGGAAATCCAACAACCACTAAAATCTGGTGCCAGTTCATTTTTTGTTTACATTGCGTGAAGAAGGAAGTTGCACTTGGTATCTTCTTCAGGGGATCTAGAGTTGTTTACTTCGGCAGTTCTTGGTGTAGCACCACCACAGGCAAAGAGATGAACACGTTTTCCAAAGGGTTTGGGTTGTTTGACACAGTGCAGAGTTAAAGAAAACCACAGCAGCTGAAAATGGAACAAATGTTGTAAGTTTGGTCCCAAATCTGTCAGGTATGAAAACACCTGTAACCTTATAAAGATAACTCTAAAAAGCTAATAAGTGATATTTTATTTATTTTATTTTATTTTTATTTATTTTCAAATATGATAGCAGTATAAAATCACATGCATATACAAGGAATGCAAAAGACATATTTTTTTAACCACAATATTAACATGCTCGAAAAGGAGTAGGAAGAAGTAAGAAAACTATAAACTCATACCTTATAAACTCTTACAATATTTTCAGATGAAGCCTCATTATTAAATCAAATAAAAAAACATAGGTTAATTAATTTTCCATTTTATCAGGGCTTATATATGTCTATATATATATACATTCTCCACACACACTCACACGTTAGTGCTATCTCTCCTCATATTTCTATATCATGTGAAAATGACCTCCTAATATTGCCTTCTGATATTGTATAAAATTTCTACTTTTTTTAACTCCTCATTTAACTTGTTCCATAATTTCACACCAAGAATTGAAATGCAAAATCTGTATGTGTGATATGCTTCCCTCCACAGGTATGTCACCATCTTCTACGCTCTGAGGTACCACAACATCATGACGGTGAGGAGAGCAGGCTGCATCATTGGAGGAATCTGGACCTTCTGCACTGGCTGTGGGATCGTCTTCATCATCTACTCTGAGACCACCCCTGTCATCATCTGCCTGGTGTCCATGTTCTTTGCCATGCTGCTCATCATGGCCTCCCTCTACAGCCACATGTTCATGCTGGCTCGTTCGCACGTAAAGCGGATCGCCGCGCTGCCGGGCTACAACTCCATCCACCAGCGCACCAGCATGAAGGGTGCCATCACCCTCACCATCCTCCTGGGCATCTTCATCGTCTGCTGGGCCCCCTTCTTCCTGCACCTCATCCTGATGATCTCCTGCCCTCGCAACCTGTACTGCGTGTGCTTCATGTCCCACTTCAACATGTACCTCATCCTCATCATGTGCAACGCCGTGATCGACCCGCTGATCTACGCCTTCAGGAGTCAGGAGATGAGGAAGACATTCAAGGAGATAATCTGTTGCTACAGCTTAAGAAACGTCTGCAGCAACCTTTGCTCCCTCACCGGTAAGTTCTGAAAAGAAAAAAATGGAAGAAAAGAACACACACACACACACACTCACACACACACACACAAAAACAAAGTTGGACGAATGAACTTGAACTGAGACTGGTTCCGGAAATTCAACGTCCAGCGCATGGAGACTGTGTTTTATTGTTTGTTTTTTTTGGGGGGGGGAGGGGTTTCCACTTACGTATTACAGTGAAAACAGTTTTTAGTTGGGTGTTTGTTTTTCTGCCAACTGTTAAAAAGGACGAGCCAGAATGGAGCCAGAAACAGTGAAGTGTTTCCTAATGTGCTAATGCACTGCATCCAAAACACACACAAAGAGGCTGATTTATTAGGTGCATTATCCAAACGCTCTACCAGCCCCATCCGAAATCACGAGTCATTTAAAAATGCGTCACAGAAATCTACCCTTCTATCATTCTCCCCTGACATGTCCTCCTCTGTGTGGTTTAGCTTTTCTTTTGGTTCTCCTTTTCTAATCAACGACATTACTATAATAACCTACAGGACTATGACCGACAAGGCAGCCTGAGAGATCTTTTTCACTTCTATCACGTGAGCCATGCAGGCTGAAAGAGAGCTTAGATATTCACTGTTAATTGCCGATGATGGCAACCCCACGCAGCCAGTGTTGCTTCAAAGCCATGATGTGCACATCCTTGGCAATTAGGACTAACCTGCGTGGCGGAACGGCCTCGGCAATGACGCTAGCAACTCTGACAGGATCATGGGAGTTCTCACTGATGTTACAAAAGGAGGCCAAAACTCTTTAGAAATGCAATTCAGCGCTTTAGGGGATAAAACATAAAGTCGTTTGTAATGCAGTGTTCAGGGGGTTTGGAATATGCTTGAATCAACACCATTTTGTTGTTGGTGTAATGGTTTTTAAATGTAAAAATGCAATTTTATTGACAGGTGCAAAACCATATAAACACAAACACATTAGTGGGGCAGAGATGAACAGAAGGAAGTCATCAGTGTATAATGACAGTATGTGAAGTCCTTCAGCTGACTGATACTTCACTGGTTGTACAGTGGAACTATTTCAGACATCAAAGTACATATCTAAGTACACTGTATCCAAGGAGTAACATCAAGTACAATATAAAGAAAAGTTGAAGGATTTTGATTGTTGTACCTAGAAAAGATTATATCTAAGAAACAGTTTAAGCAGCCAATAGTATTTCAAGATATGAAATATAGTGGTTGTTCCGCTGTTAGCAAGAACCGAGCCGTTGTAGAAGGTGACTGAATGACAAGAATGATTTCTTAACTCATTCTGTGAAGGTGGACGCATGGCGGTGCAGAGAGTGTTTCTGTTTTCTCACAGATTATCGTTTCTCATATTCTACTGTCAGGACATAATGACAGTTTTAACAAATATGTGAAAAACATACTTTCTTTTTAAATTAAAGTTACCTACTGCAACTTTAAATATGTAAATAAGTAAATAAATAAAATGATTCGGTAACGCACCAACAAAACTGTCCTACCCTGTCCGGACTCAGCTCCTCTTCATGTTCTCATGTTAGATCCAGGTAACCTGTACTTTGAATGCTCCAAAATGCAATCCAGAATTGCACTTTAACATAATCCAGCGATGGAGTTAAAAGTGAATACTGAAATAAAAATAAATAAATAAATAAAAACTATAAACAGCTGAAATCAGACACTGGTTCAAGAACATTTAGTCCACGTTAACAGCTCTATCCGGGAGAGAACGCTTTAATGAACCTGTTGTTGGAATTCCTGTTCAGTCCAATGTTATATTGGTCAGTGGGGTGATTACACTCTCTGCTCAGCATACTGTAAAATGTTATTCACATGAGAATTGGAGCTCTACACCATGTGTTGCACATTAACTCACTTTCTTTTTTTACTTTGTTCACAGTCGAGTTGATAAAGCCGTCAGGAGACATGGGGCTTTTAATTACACTTCAGTTGAAAACTGTCTGTGTCTCTGCGCCAACACTAAGCTCCATGAAAGCACAAATAATTTATGCATCTTTCATTTTCTCATATGACATCTGTGTGCATCATAAGCTCATTAGGAGTTCTTAAGCCAAATTATTTCCACATGCAAAATTCGTCAGAATCAAGGCGCCGCAAGGCATGGGTCTTCGTCTGGATGTTTGTCTGCTCCTCAGTGCCAGCCTACACCTGCACACAGGTGACAGGGCTTTAGATTTGTAATAATGAATATAATGAAATGTGTTGTCTTCATCAGAGAAGCGGCGTTGAGCATTGTGGAGGAGAAATGCTTCCTGCTGTTGCTGCAGTAACTCCAGAGCTCAGCTGCTGCCTCTGTATGATTTATGAAGACAGTTTTTCTCTCATTATTTACAAAAAACTAACACTGAATGCATCTTTTGCATTCACTGAACAACAGAAAAGTGCTAATTAAAAAAAAGCCTTATAATGTGAACGATGAAAAAGAGAAAACAAGAACACAATGTGTAAATGTTCAACACTTCTAACTACTTTTCTGAAGATTCAGACTTGAAATGTTTGTAAGGAAAAACTTTATCTTTAGCCATGTTTTAAATAAAGTGGCTAAACAGAAAATGTATCACAAGCAGATGAATTACATAAATAACACAAATTAAGGTAATTATAATAATACAATTTTGAGATTTTTAATTTAAAATATTGCAATAAAGCTTGAATTCTTGATGAAAATGGCCTGGTTTAAAACTTTTGCACAGAAGCTTGTGATCTGAGCAACTCAAGACACAGAAACAACATATACATATGTACATTTTATTCATAAGTAAATGAGTAAAATGAATTCCCATATGGGAAGGTCAGATAATTAATAGCTAAATTAATCAGACGGTGAATACAACTAAAATTTGAGACTAAAAGATTTCAGATCTGACTTGCACTTCTGATCTGAAACTTGAGTCTTTTTAACATGTATGACTTAATAAAAAACTGTCATGACAGGCGATAGTGTTATAGACTGAGGCATTGTTAACTGTGAAAGGATGCACTTAATTATTATCCAGTGATGTTTGTGAGTTATGGGCTGTTAACGATGCATATCACAGAATAAAAATAATTCAAAGCTAAAACATAAAAGTATATTTTCTCAGTGGAAAGGAGGTGATCAGTTCAGTCGTAAGTGTGAAAAGTGAGCTGAGTCAGTTTGGAGACCAAATACATAATCCCAGTTTATGAATAAATTTAGACTTGTTTTGACAGAAAAAAAAAAAAAAACATTCTCGCTTTCTGGTTCTTACCAACCTACATTTCATTGTCTCACCGGAGCCCGAAGAATTTTGCAGCCCATGAAGGACGTAACAGTGTGTACACTTCATGGCAGATTGGAAAAAAGGAAAGGATGACTTGAACTAGTGATTTTCGCTGCTCAGTTTTCCAGATCTTTCAGAATGTAGGAAAGTTTTTGTCTGGAGACAGGAACAGTGATGTTGCATTAAGAGTACAGTATTATTACTGTCTTGCACACATGAAGAGGTCTGCACTGATTACTATGTGGTGGGGGAGCAGAGCCTGCTGTTCGGCTTTGTTCAGCATGTAGAAGGTAAAAACCATCCAAGTAAATGGTGACTGCCCCCTTTTAGAGGTCTAACAAAGACTTGCAGATGAAAGCGCTGCCTCCACTCTGGGTGGAAAAGCATTATGATATCTGGTGCTGTGGAAGACATACATGACTAATACATGGATCATCAGCAGTGGCCTGTGTTGCTACAATGTGAATGAGTAACACCAAAAACAAGGTAGAAAAACTGATGATAAAGCAGCAGGACAGGGTGACATACACTTACTCCTCTGACTAATGGTCCTCACGCTCAGATCACCTGTTAAAAGCAGACATGGAAACCACAAAAACACACACAGCAGCCATCTGCTCTTTCATAAACGCTTTCCAAGATAATTACAAATCCCTGCTTCACTCCAGGGGGCAACACGTTTATCCTGCTGTCTCACATATTGCCTGACCTTTAGAGGATCTATTTATTTTCTGCTCAGTGTGAAACACAAAAGTGGTTTTATATATCGCCGTAGAAGCATTGTTTCCAGATATTTTTTGTCCAAATTTTTATTATTTTTTTTTATGTGATTATCAGCATGTATTCAACAAACACAACAAACATTCATGATTTTTTGGAACGGTCTAAATGCCAGCTTTAAAATGTCACTTTTTTTTCCATAAAAGATAAAAACTGTTTTTTTTCTTTTACCCGCCCTGTCCTATATATGCAAATAAGAACCTTTTCTGGTGATGATAGTTGTGGGTGGGGAAGCCTGAATCTCAGTGATTTTGAGCAACTTTAATTATTAACAACAAAAAAGAAGTAGTAGCTGGGTCCAGCCTCAAACTATCAATTAACCAAATTTTTCATGAGTCCAACAGCAGGATGTTACTACTGGTGAAAATGATGAAGAAGACAACAGGAAGCGGTAACAGGATGATGGTTTACTGTGTGAAAAAGCTTCTTCATGTCTGATTTTAAAACAGTTTCATATTTAACTGAAACACCACTACTGCAAAATAGTGGGGGGTTTTTTTCAACATTAGCAGAATATTGAGAAAGATTTGTAAACATTTGTAATGGAAACACAGCTAATTTTAAACACTCCATAGATTTCAATTCAAAGAGTTCATACTGTGCAACATCTTCTCTATTTTATCAGTTTTTTGAACACAAATGAAAAGCAAAACTCACCATCTATCTTTTTCATTTTATGCCATTTGTATCAACAAATCCAGAGTTGCACAAATATAAAGTAATGACAGCCGTCATCAAGCTGCAGCTGTGTCTGCATCAACGCCATGGTTACCAGCCAACCAGCCTCTTGAAATCTGCCTGTGTGTAAAAGTGCAGCACCGTTTCCTCAGACAAGAGTGTAAAGTTTTCCTTCCTTCCTGTCTCTGTGCTCCACATCGATCCCCCTGTGTGCTGAGCTGCTGCCATGTAAAAACAAGAATGTACAAATAGCTCCACAGCGCTCTCTGTGATTGTGTGCTGGTGCCTACCTCCCTACTGAGAGGCTTGACTCTTCTTTATCAGTAAAAATGCAGCGACCTACTGAACCTGAATGTTATGAAGCATTGCTATGTAAACAACGTTATTATCTGTGCAGCATATTATTTATTGTAAAAAAAAAAAAAGTCGGTCGCTGTATATCTTCCCTAACATAATGTTTGTTCCCAAAGACATCGAGATCAAAAAAAAAAAAAAAAACATGGTGAAAAGATTAACATGGGTTACCCATCTTGTGTTGTAACAGTGTTCCGATTTATTGTAAGTCTTTTGCACTGCAGAGAATATTAATGGGAGAAGATGCATAAATGTGCACAGACTTGTAACGATATTTATTTCAATGACTTTGCATTTGTGCTCAAGCCCCTCTGCTGCTATCATATGCAACATTCTTCAAAACGGACACAGTTTCTGTTGCCCACAGAAGCAGCAGTTTGTGTTTTGCCTCAGCTGCTTCATCAGACTGAGGTTTTTCTGATCGCATGAAAGCTGAAGCTTTTCTCCATGTGCAGTGACCGTTCGCCAATTTCACTTCGTCAAATGGTGATATGAACAAACGTAAATATTGGCTTCTGTTAGCAATGTGGCTTACAATGGATTCTTCTTTATCTATTTATGTCTTAATAAAAAAGATAATAAATCTGAGTGTTATTCTGTTTTACTAATTATGTATAAATAATTATTTTTACTCCATTTTAAATGGTTTGGCACTATCTTTTAACTGTCCTCCTTAACCTAAGAGTCCAAAAAGTGCTCTGAGATCTTCTTGACAGATGTTCTTACTGCATCTAATGGCCTAATTAAAGCACAGTGGGGATGGAGCCTTTTGCAGACTACAAGATGCCCCTTGTTAATCATGCTGCAGTCTTTTAAGTTCCTCCTGAAAACTCTTTTTTTTTATCCAAGTTTGAGCTCCATCAGACTGGTTTGATTGTTTTATACTCCAGTTTTTTGTTTTGTTTTGTTTTGTTTTTGTTTTGTTTTTGTTTTTATCTTATTGTTCTTGTTGATTTTATTGATGTGTTTTGGAATTTTGTCTATTTTTACTCTTTGTGATGCACTTTGGTCAAAGTGATTGTTTTTAAATGTGCTACATAAATAAACTTGAGGAAAATTGGCTCCAATATTTTTATTTCAAGGTTTTCTGTTTCATTAAATATTTTTCCAAACTCTCTTTATGATGGATAATTCAAATCCCACAGGGAAATGTGATGCTGTAACTCATACAATTATCTTCAGAGCAGGAAGAATCTCCTTTAGCAGTCTGTGTTACAGCGGTTTGATGTGGTGTGCATAAGAGTGACATGACACTGTCATAAACATGACATAACACCTGTTAGACAAAGGAGTAGATTTCTTGAATGTTTATGACTGTTGTCATGAAGTGTCATTCAGTAAATAATGACATTTTTAATGCAAAGTTGCATTAAAACTTGCATCAAAAGTAAATTAAAATTGTCACCTTTGCATTATAAATGTCATTATTTATCGAATGACTATTCATGACAACAGTTGTAAACATTCATGAAGACTTCATGTTAAGTCATGTTTATGACAGAGTCATGTCCGTCTTATGCACACCCTGTTAAATAAAGGGTTACTGAAGCCTCTGACTGAAGACGTAATAAAAATCCTACTGCATAGTTTATTTAATAAGGGAATAAAGGATTTTTACATTCATCAAAAATTATTTATTTACGTCCCAAAAAGTCACAAACAGGATTGGATTTATTGTTAGTTACAGTGATGCTCAATCTAATGATATAATAATAGTAATAATAAATAATCAATGTGAAATTAATAACTTGAAAAGTACTAGAACCAAAACACAGTAGAGCTGATGCATTTTACAATAAGCTGGTAAACAATAATCTTAGCTTGTAGCAGATTATATTTATTATAATGACTGCTGTGCTACATGGAAAACCTCAACAGTTATACAGTTATACAAACTTTTCCGTTTGTAGCCAGAATGTCGCTCAAGTTCTCTTTCACTGGCTCTCATCCAGACCTTCAGATCCCATCAGACTTCTGCTTGCTGCACATTGCTATACTCTCACTGACACCCAGAGGGAACAGCCTGATCTGGTACATGTGCAGTCCAACAATGGTTGTGTGAATCATTTAATATGCAAAGGGTTGGGATAAACTGGGAAAAACCAGAAAGCATAAAAGATGGTGTCTTCAGTGAAACTTGTTAGTGTGGCCTGTCAGTCAGTCAGTCAGTCAGTCAGTCGGTGAGTTAATGACCCACTTTCTCCTGCAGAGTGGGCGTCTTCATGGATTTACTGTTTTCAGCATCAGGCCATGTCTGCACAGTGCTGCAGGCTTCTTCTGTCAGCTGATCTTCTCTCAGTCTTCACATACTGGTGACAGATCATTGATCTCTGGAGGAATAATGCTCTGCTCTAAGCAGGCTAGCTCTTTGCTAATCAGGTCATCTATATGCCTGTCTCTGGGCTGCGTTTGTGCTAAATTACTTCCAAATAATAATTTCTTCTGTGTCTCTTGTTATCAGTGGCTTTGCATGACAGATGTATATTGGGGGCAAATGTTAGACTTTAGCATATTGACAGCTTTTTCAATTATAATAATGTATCAAGAATTTATCATTTTCTTTAGATATTGATCAGTCTCTTTAATCAGATGTCATTAATAATCAGTGCAGCATAACAAGATTTTATTGACAATCAGTTATCGTATGTCAGATCTACAATAATTAATTAAGCAAAGGAACAAAAACAAAGATAAAACTCAGAAACACAAACAATTCAACACGTTAAAGAGAAATGTCTGACTGAATAAAACACTAAAAAGACAAATAAATAAGCTGAATAAAGAGATTTTGGTCTCTCCACTAAAGAAAGCTGTCATTCCTAATGCTTAATCTAACTTATATATTTTTTAATTAACTCATTGATCTGTCTGGTTATCACACCAGAACACCAAATTATAACCAAAATTAGAGCACCATACTGTGGTCTGGATCATGTTGTGTTGGGTGCTAACCATCCCATTTCTGAGTTCAGCTTTTATCCACATTTATGGTTGTTCTGTAAAAAAAAAAAAAAAAAAAAAAAACAGAGGCTGGTTTATATGATCCATGTTGGTGGATTTCTGGATGATTTCTCACTTTAGATTACTCCAGAAAAGAAAGTTAGAACTAAGCCAAATAGCCTGAAAGTGGTCGTTAGGAAATTGAAGCATAGCTGGCAAGAAAAAAAAAAAAGTCAAGTCTCATAATCCAGTTAGAGATAAAAATTTCAATTTCAGATATGAAATCCATTATTTTTATACACCTTATTTTCTTTTAACCGCAGAGAGGGAGAAAAGAGGTAAAAATAGTTGTGGATAAACTGATCTGCTGCTGATTGGAGCGGTTTATCATTTAAGGTTCACAGCATGTGATCATCCGTGGAATAAAGAGGCAGACTCGCTTTCAACGTTCAGAATCTAACCCAAGATTTAAAGTTTTGACGCTACATGTGGGGTGTTTTAATTAATTTCTGAATTTTTAAACTTTTTAAACTCTTGGCATGAATGCGGGCCATCATGAACATGCAGACATAGAGGAATTTTTAAACAAAATAACAAAATAATAAATTAACATGTATCTAAACAATCTTTTGATTATAAAACTGCAAGATAATATTTATGGGGTAAGAGGCTGACATGGGCGAATTCTGCAGTAGGAAACTTTTATAAATATGTCTTTTAGAGGTTTGTAAAAAAGTGTCAGAATCTCATGACAGACACATAATCTTCTATTGCAGAAATACATCACTAAGTCAGAAACTACCAAGCAGAGCCAGGAATAGAGTCTTTGCACCATCAATCAGGCTCATGTACGCACTGCTCACTCCATTCCTCCTTGCTTTCTGCCCACCGCAGAGCCTGCCCTTAATGCTCAGCCTAGCTAGCATAGCCAGCAATAAGTTGTTTCTCCACTGTTAATCTTCGGCAGTGCATACATAAGCATGATTTACAGCGCTGAGACCCTCCTTCTGGCTGTGATTGGTTGCTTCTGACCGGCAGCCAGCAATGCATTTCTGCAGACAGCAGGAGGAGGTGGATTTCTTTCACAGATGATCTGTCAGATGTTGCACTGTCAGGACCTGTAGACATTTAGGTAAATAACATTTTGATATAAATAGCTGCTGCTGCTGCTGCTGCTGCTGCTGCTGCTGCTGCTGCTGCTGCTGCTGCTGCTGCTGCTGCTGCTTTAAAGAGTAAGTTGCCAACAATGGAATCACTTTCAGGTCATAGGGATCCCCGGTGAGACCAAAAGGACAACAAATGAAAAGTTCAAACATGTGGTTTGTATGCTCAAAGTCCATTGACCAAATGTCCAAGTAGCAATGCAAACAAGAGTGATGTAGGTTCATACCCTCTGTTAGCCTCAGCTGTTTGGTGACACATGTCACAGGAACCACATAGTGACTTAACCCCTGCCAATGAAAGACTCAAAGACAAAAATGATCATTAGCACAACAGGGAGCAGGTTAGATACATTTCTGTTACAAGCAAAATTTCCAGTCAGAGCAAAACAGCATCTTTCTGAAGGTGTGCCGCAGCTCAGCCATGCGGAAAGCGTAGATAGCCGGGTCTATGAGGGCGTGGCTCATCATCAGCACCACATGCAGCTCGAACAAGGACCGGTAGCATTCACAGTACGGATTCATAGGGCAAACTGTGATGATGACCAGGTGGACAAAAAACGGTGCCCAACACACCACAAACGCCCCGAACAGGATGGTGAGAGTGAGAGCGCCTCGCATGTTGCTGCCCCACCTCCTCTGATGCTGAGACTTGTCCCTGCCACCACCAGGAAGCGCTGCAATGTTCTTGGCATGAATGCGGGCCCTCATGAACATGTAGACGTAGAGGAAGCAGATGGCTGCCAGGGAGACGACGAAGAAGACAATGAAGCAGATCATGATGAACTTAAAGTTGAAGAACTTCACCATTAGCACAGCCAGAACTGCACATGATGTCCAGATAAGCCCCAAGATGGCTGCAGTTCGCTGCATGGTCATGATGTTGTGGTAGCGTAGCGCATGGAAGATGGTGATGTAACTGTAGGATAAAAAACAACAACAACAAAAAACAAACAAACAAACAAACAAACAAAAAAAACATTTCAGTCCTGATTGAGGGACCACATGCAGCTGTGGCATGTGACATTTGATCTTTGCATTTGATGCAAAGATCAAATGTCTAATTAAAAACACAATTTAGACTTAAAACTTTTTTTCAGGATGTTATGTGTCCCTAACAACATGGTCTCAGCTTGTTGTGTGGAACAGATCAGTGAATGAGAGTCACACCAGTCCCAATATAAATGAGCTACAAACAGAGTTCATTAGATCCCTTTCACCTCGTCTTTTGACAGATGTATCCTGGAAAGTTAACTTAAACTACAATGGTCAACTGTTTCTGCAAGGCAACATGTTGTTATTATCCATAATACCATCTCTTTGACTCAGGGTAATAGTTGGGTTTTGACAAGTTTCCTTTATTTGATTTTCAGGTAAGCCACCTTCAGCTATCAAACAATAAGGTTTATGTACCCATAGCAATCAATATGTGTTTAGGTGGAAAAGGGCAAACTAATTATGTTTTCCAGGCTCATTTTGAGTATTGAGATGGTGATGAGGGATTTTTTTTTTTAATTTGCAACAAAATCTGGCTTTTTGAATGTCATGTCACAATTGATTCATCATTATCTTCCCTCTTTTATAAAGTGTTGTGTAATTCAAAGGAATACTTTGTTGAGGAGTGACAAGCCAAAATGAGAGGGTAAAGAACATTTCATCATTGTGGCTGGATACCAGTCACTATGCCAGTGGTCAAACCAATATGACTGTGGACCTCTGTACTAGCACTGAATTAAGACATATCACACCTTTTAAAATGGGATTATATTAGCAAGAAATGTGACAAAAATGATTGACAGAGCTATCTATCGCCGTCTTCTGTCTCTATCAAAAGGTTTACGATAAAATGACAAAAATGATCAAATGTGTTGGGCGTTAGGGTCAATACGGCATTACGGTCAATACATGGTGACAGTGAAAAAACACATTAGACTGGCCAAAGATGCATTAGATACCATTACTAGTTCTTCATGAAGGAATTACACAGTGCAATTGAATAGTTGCATTGTGCCCTTGTCCAATGTGCAGGACATACAGTTCACACAATGGTGTCATGTTGGAGCCAATGGGTAAGAGAAGCCCGAAACCTGTTTATTGCTTTAAGACAGCTAACATTTTTTTTTTGTTTTGTTTTTTTGCATCACTCACTGTATCTTCAGTCATCTGTCAGCAGATCTGGATACATACCGGTCAACAGCAATGGCCAGGAAACTGGATATGGAGCCTACAAATGACATGCAGAGCAGGGAGTCCATCACGTCATCTAGGTCGGTCTCAGGAGGACCCCTCCTCTCCAGGTGTCCCGCATCAGCAAGAACTATCATCAGGTTTTCCCACGTTTTTGTCACGCTGGCGATGGTGTTGAAGGCAGCCAAGCTGCACATGAAGCAATACATGGGCGAGTGGAGGTTCCTGCTGCGCATCACCGCCACCACGACCAGCAGGTTCTCAGCCAGGCTGACGATTCCAACGGTGAAGAAGACGGGAAATGGGACCTTGACCTCAGGGCAGCCTGTCTGGTTCATGGCAGCGTCCTGTCTGACTCCAATGAAGATTTAACAAGTTCCTAAGAACAGGTGAAAGCAAATAGAAATATTACACAAGTTTAAATGCTAGCACAGAGTAATAACAATGATGATGATACTGCTGAGCTTTGATAAGAACTATTGGGAGCTATGGCAACTGCCTCGTTGTCTTTGGGATAACATCATATTTTTCCAATATTATAAACTTAATCATGTTCCTGGCTCAGATTTAAAACTTCATTTTAACGTTCTGGTCCATGTCAATTTCATAATAATAAAGTGTTACAGAAAAAAAGCCAGGCA